ATACAGCTAGCCACCTTCAGGAGGAGAGCTTGAAGCTGCCTGTGTCGTATTATCCACCTGCCAGTGCCACCAGAAGTCTGCCTGCTGACTAGACTGCAGAGAAGCTGCTTGACTTCTTTCCCAGTTTGCCGGTCTGTTAAATGGAGTGAACGCTTACATGCTTCTCGGGCGTGGTGTCAATTGTATGACACCTCTCTATTATCCTGAAGTTCTGAAGAACAGGCATGCATATTTATAAGGGATTTAAAGTCTTCTGCTTCAGGGCATAAACTAACCTCTAATTAATAAGGTTCAAAAGCAGCTTCCTGTAGGGTAGTGAATTTCTCAAAGAAACTTTCTGGTGTTTTCCTTTGCAGCTTTTGCTGTTAGCTACCGCCATACTGGTAGTGGAGTGAATGACTATGTGATCTGAGCCAGTAACTCTTATGTTCCTAGAAGACAGCACTGTGTGCCAATAAGTACACATCAATTCTCTTTGTAAGCTGCATTCCCAGCAGATCCAGGCCAAATAAAAGAATATGAATTAGAAGTGCAGTGCAGGAAAGAAATACTTGTCTCTGTATTTGGCAAAAGGGTTACAGCCAACAGCCACATGTGGCACAAACCACAGTGTTTTTTCCAACCCACCGTACAAAAAGCAGAGTGCAGGATTCCAGGTTGACCCTGTACTACCTAGCTCAGCTTTGCCATGAAGCTGTGCAGGCTGTGTTCATTTGTTGTCAGAGAGCTGCCATTTTCCTTTTCCAAATGGCTTCCTCTACAGCTGCTCTGCTGTTCATGCTCACATGCACTTGGCAGTGGTCAGTGGTTCCTGACAGCTATGTGATGTTTACCCAGTCATTTCTCAAAATGAAGAAGAATCATGAGGCAAGTACAAGCCATGATGTTCTCTTTAATACCTCCCATATCCACAGTCACTCTCCTGTGGCTGATTTTTGTCCAGCCTCTGTTGGGGAACCGGTCTCCTGGCCCTTCACTTATTTCAGTATCTGTAATGCTGAGAAGAAGGAGAAGCAAGTGCAAGCACTTGGTTCATTGCTCTTGCAATCTAGTTAAGATTTATTGTGCCCCACATTAGTGTTTGTCAGCTATTACTAAAGAGGTTTTTTCTACCTTCACAACAGATGCTAGCTAAGGTGATATACCTACACCAGAAGTGGTGTAAATGGTATCCTACTAACAGTGATTTAGGGAAAGTCTTATCCAACCTTTACTGCTACTGACATATAGGGAACTGTTTAAGTATTTTTTTATTCAGACCTTTCCTTTATGAAATTCACCTATGCTTCTTGTGTTCTTTTTTTAATTTCTCTTTTTCTTTATGGCTCTACAATCACCTAGGATCTCCACATTATCCCTTGGTTTCTAAGCCCACCTGAATTCTTCCTTCCTGTTCAGATTTATGTCAGCTCTAATTTGTTTTAGACAAAGCAAGTCCTCGGATTTCTTGGTTATAAGAGAGGATTGGTGCAAACTTGGAAAGGGAGGGGAAATAATGTCGCAGCTGCCTGGAAGCATCATTCTTAAAACTCCAGAAAAAAGCCATGCTGGCTAGCTTCCTCTGCAAAGGGTCTTCTAGCTACAGTCAGTAGAGTCTCAGGTTCCCTAGGTAACCTGAATATTAATTATTATATTAGTATTCTTCAAAGGTTTTCCACTAAAAAGAAATGTTTCATTAGTGCGACAAACTACAGAGCCCAATTGGGTGCAAGCTGTAATTGTTTTTTACACCTCCACATCTCTTTGCTTCGCAGACTTTTAAGCTGGATTTATTCTCATTGGGGCTATATACCCATGGTGGCAAATAATCTGCAAGTTTTCCAAATAGTTGCAACTCCAGTTTTTGCTGGAAGCTAACGAATAGCTAAAACAACCCTCAAAATTACTGGATGGGAGAAGAGGGAAGATACGGAGAAAGGCTGAGCAGATGCTGTGTTTCAGAGAAGCCTCTGAGCATTGTATTTCTGGGCTATCTCGCTGAGCTTGGAGCCTGGCAAAGCGTTGCAACGGTTCTTCAGGAGTGGTATCACACTGGGATAGCCCTATGTGAGCTGCGGATACTGGACCCGCTCCTCATGGAAACACCATTCCTGGCAAACTTTATTTGCATCTAATAATGAAGGGAAAAGGAAATTCCTAGGTGTAAAGTATGGTTTTAAAACCCCTGATATTACACTGCAGTTTAGCTGGCACACCGCTTCACCAAAATACTTTTGACTTTTTTTTTTAGAAGAAAACATTACTACTTTAAAAAAAGAGCCCTGGGCCTTGAAGAGAACAGTTAAAAGGTCAACCCATTTTTCCTAGTCCTGTAATTTCCCCTGCTGCTTTTTATTCCACTTGACCTCTATTACCCTTTCTCCACTTCAATATCTCTTCTGAAAAGTGTGTGTTAAACATTCCTGCAGATTATAAAATCCCACTCCTTCTTGAAGAGATTAATTTGTAGTGTGCTATACTCTAACATATATAACAGTATTGCTTAGCAGATCTGTGTACTGCAATAAACCACAGTTGAAACAGAAATAAAATACCCTGCAAGGTCAATTTATGCTTACATAAGCTCACACCGCCACATAATCAATAGCTTTCCTAACACTA